TCCCTGAACAACATTAAACATGCCTTTTGTATTTGGTGAGATAGGAACTGAATTTTGCTAAGATGAGCATCATGCTTCAAGGGTTATAGGAGTGTGAAACACTCCTTCTCTGACGGGAGAAATGTGAACTGAGTGCTGAAGAGTACATTTATACTTGAGAGACATGAAACACGGAGAATGGAGAATGTTACTTAGCGAGCAGCTTCATAATTTGACTCTCGACCTGACAGTGTCACACTCATTAAATATAAAAAGCAATGTGCTTGGAGAAGCAAGAAATACATGCATTAGAGGTGTCTGAAATTATCATAGGAAGAAGCCATTTGCGGTGCTTGGGTATCAATTGTTTTGTCTGTGTATTAGTTTATTTAACGACACTTTCTTAACTGCGTTAGTTGTGTAAAACCAAATGACGGGATGACTTATAAGGTCGTATAGGGAAGGTAGCCTGTGGAATAAATTTGTGTCCCATTTTAAGTTAATACCGTAGCATTTTACTGGAGGAAGTAAAGAAAATCATGGAATAACCTAAACATAGTGGCTTGTGACGTTACGTAAATGGAAGGATAATATTAGAACACAAATCAGAGAATTAGGTTGTGTACTAGGTACAAAAAGATATGAACTGTCTCATTTTGGGGTTGATGGTAATATTGGTGCTTGATCGATTTAGTAATTATCATCTACTCATAAAGGCACTATAATGTTTAATTACTTAGAACAGAGTGTGAAAATCCCTACACAGTTATATATCAAGGTATTAATGTTTTAAAATGGGTTTGGAGTATTTCCAGTGCAAGTCAATGATTATCCACTGTTTGACTCGATTAGTTAAGTGAGGCCTGATTTCAGATCAGTGTAGTTAAGAACATGGTATTAGAGGTGGTGACACCAGTCGCGATAAAAAGAATTTTACAAGTGCTGTTACAGGCATTTTTATCCACCGAATGTCGCGGCTAACTGTTCAGCACAGTGGTCTGTATTCCTGCTAACAGGCTAGCTATCCTGACCGACGTTATCTGTGGTTTGCTTCAGTCACTTGGCCCAATTCCGGGGTGTTATTTTAAGCACGTCGTGACCACTACGTTCCGCACCTTCCAAGATTCGAACTGGATTCCTCTCGAATACAAAACTCACATTTAAGTTGAGAACGTATTTATTACATTGAAATTCACGGTAAAGTTGTTAACATACCTGCCCTGTATTCGGGACTTCCCGGATACCGGCTATAAAATCTCGTACGTTTCATAGTTTTTCTTAGTCCCTCCAAGCAAATTCCAGATTATATATGTGTAAACTCTCATTGAATGCCAGTTCCCTTGTTTAAATTTATCTCATTTAGTTGTTAAATTAACGGACAGGTAGTTTCATTATAGTGTGTTATAAGTACGCTGATGTTCTGTGCAGATAGTTTATCTCTGTTTTATAATCGATTGTACGGATTGTTCGAAACATGTTGGGACTTCCGGGCTTGTATATTTATGTGTTTATTTGGGTTTAGAACGAGAAACATTTTACAGGACGTGTCCGTGGTGGATTGTAAAAAAAAAATACGTGGCATTTTGAATTGACAGGGAAAGAAGACATTTTCTGTTCCCACGTAATCGAAGTGTTAATGGAAAACCACAAAAACCTACGTTTGAATTACTTTTGTATTTGTCCTGTTGGCTGAATTTGAGCGAATGAACAAATAAATAAATAAATACTACCTCGCATACAGGCAAATGGACACGTATGAGAGATGAAATAGTTGGTTGGTTGGTTTAATTTTATTATTTCTGTGAACATTATAAGTATTAATAATTTGTATCATCCTAATTCATTAATGACGTTAACGATATCATAAATGGAATATGTTGCTGAATATATGTACTTGACATGCTGTTTACTATAATCTGTACGTACAGATCATAGACCAATATTTTAATCAACGGCATATTAATTAATAGTACTTTGTGTGTGTTCATTTCTGTGGCTGTTTGTTATATTAAGCTTAGAATAGAAGCACAGACCCACGTCATCGACCCCAATATCATCATCATTATCATTATCACCACAACGGATAAAGCTCTTAATCCTTTCTTTTTGCGAGGGTTAATAGGGTTTCATGTTTTCCTCGGACGTCCGTGGTTATCTTCTGATGTTTGGTTTATGTTGATATAGCATATTTATGGTCCGATTTTCAAGTGTCTGTCCCAAAGATCTGGTCACTTACGCTTATACTTTTCATAGCTATAATCATAATATATCAAATCTAAAACTTCTTGACGATGGTGAAGAGTCAATTGAATAAAAACTGAGTAGGAACCTGAAGACGGAGATAGAGCCTCATCTCCGAAACGTCGTTTTACGTTTTTTACGTTTTATTACTAGACGATGGATAATATCCAAGTAAATTTTTATAATCATAATGTTTTTTTCCATTTCTTCAGTGATATCTCTATTATATCATTCAGTATCCTGAGACCACTATAAGGAAACGGATTTCTATCGTATTCTTCACTTCGTTAATTGTTTTTAGGGTTTTCAAATAAATATAGTCTTATATCGATAGTAAACAATCTGCTGATTAGAACTTCATATAGCAAAATAGATACTTGTAACTGTATAGGATATAGCCGCATCGAAGGTTGTGAATTGTACAACGTTTCGACAAACATTTGCAGTTTCCATCTTCAGGGTTAATGTGTGGTGGTTGGGCGTGTTTGGAAGTCATATGTAGGGCAGGCAGTTGATGATGAGTAGGGTATAAATTCGACGTGGCTCAATCCCGAAAGCCATAGTTACACATTGATCTACATCCGTGAAATCCTAAGGACGAGTATTAATAATTACTGGCTAATAACTGATTAATTACCCATACCATAAGCACAATAATACTAGAACCTGCAACAGAAAGTTGCTCATTTAGTTAACGTATAAATTAAAATCAATTTAAAATAAACGCACTTGTTTGCAAATGAATAATAAGTAATTTTCCCTGGAACCCACCGTTTCAAGAGGAGTGTGGTGTAGCCTGTGTGTGTGTGTACGGAGGCGAACCAGGGACTGGCGTTAACACACGTCAGTGCGCGCGTCACGTCCTGTAGATGGAATTATCACCCCACCCCCCCCCTTACAGTTACGAATAAACTGAAGTGTGAGATCAGGAAGCCCCTCTGACATTTATACATGGTTTATGTGATTATTTCCATTGCGTGTTCTTAAGATAAAAGAGAATAATTATCCGTGTTGATTCGCTACTTCTCTTACAGTTGTGTTTGGTTTGTAGACTAATTGTCAGGCTGCATGAAGTAAATGGAAACTCTCTGAACAGACGCATTAAAATTCGCTGACATCGGTAACTAACTCCGTGAAGTGAAATGTTTCCTGATAAGTTAATAGTTGCTCAACTGGTCAAATCGTGACTTACGTTGGAACCCAAAAGTTTATTAAAGTGTTCGCAAGAGGCCGCCAGTGGGTTCTTTCTGCCAGATGAATCTAGTCCACAGGGACAAATATGTATGCAACCTGTACCTGCGTTTTTGTAGGTATAGGTCCTGTATTGAGCTAATGCCCTCCACGCAAAGTCGTACCACATGTCTGAAGGGATTCACAGTTTCAGAAGTTAATTCCGAATTGGAACACGCCATAAGAACTAACCCATAAACCTGAAGAACAACTGAAATTAGAGTTTTATTAGGAATTACTTGTTGTATTCACGAGGTCCCAGGCACAGATCTTTGTCTCCCTGCTGTATAATTTCGTGTATCGTCCGACATATCTCATGTCATTGTGCAGGTTATGTTCCCGAGGCTTCTTATATTTCTTTCCACTTTATTTCTGTTTTTCTGTTTGGTTTGTTTTCGTTTGCTTCGTGCTTCTGTTTCCACTGCGTTCAGTAAGTTATCTTCCCAGGATGACGCAGGAAATAAGTTCACTCCTTGTAGCTCTAAATTGCAGTTAACAGAAATAGCAAGAGACTATGATAATTAATTTACCAGGATATACCGTACATAGGACTGTAATTGATTTAGATTTGAGTACTTCTCCGAGCCCTCGTGCACTCTGGTGATATAAACCGGTACTGGTGCCTTCTAGACGTATTCAGTTCTTAAATACGTTGTTATAAGTAGTGGGTCTTCACCTTTAGTTGCTTAAACAAGCAGACTTTTAATTAAATTACACCCTAACTTATTGGTGGTAGACTGAGATATGCTAGTTTGTCTTCCTGCAAGTGCGGCTTAGCTAATAACGTCTACGGCTTGCGACGTACAGGTACCAAGTTTAACCCGCTGCCCAGTGTACGACTCTAAACTTTTGCGAATTCATAAATGTGTCAATGTTCTGATAATTTAAAGGAAAGTCAATTTCTTGAGTCCTCCAAACGTTTATTTATTAAGTCTCAATAAATATCCAGTTACTTATTGCATCCGATTATTACCATGTTCAAAAAAATCCCGTATGTAGTTATTTCGAATTATATAAAATTTGCGATATTAATGCTAAGATCAATGTATCATTTCGTGTTCGTTGGCAAACTCATACACGTTCTCGGCGATCTTTTAGCGCTTTGGATCACCATGAAACATGTCCCTGTGGTGGATGTGTAAAGAAGATGATTATCTTCATCTTAATATCATGTTGAAGTGTATTCTGTTGATAACAATGTAGTAGGGAATTTAACGGCGAAGTAAACAAAGGGGAACTGCAATGAAAGGGGCTTAAATGTTGGGCCGTTCGTTTGAAACAGTTCTTTCCGAACATGTGCCTCGAGTAGAAAAGTATATAAGCCTTTAGAATGTACGTCCACTGCACACACACTGATCATGTAGCCGAATGAATTTGGCTGTCTTTTTGGGATATTGTACTGTATAGTCTGGTAGATGTTTACCGACGTTTCAGAGGTGTTTGATATCTCTATCATTAGGGATTCTCTGATACGTTGGTAAACATCTGCCAGACTACACTGCACTTCCCAGAAGACAGTAAATTCAATTCGCCGCCGTGAGAACCTGAAAACTCACCATGTGGTCAATAGTTGAATGTGCAGTCTTCTAAGTCAGAACTAAGTGCGATCTCCGCAGAATTAGATTTTAGCGCATTCAGTCCGTACTCTGAACACAGCGTGCCTTGATAGCAGATGGCGGAGGACAGGAATTGAAGCAGGGGACAGAGAGAGACGCTAAGCCTTTACTGGTCGGGGAAGGAGCATTGCATTCGTTACCGTTCATTAATACCCGAATAACGGGCCATATACGGATGTTAATATAGTGTAGCAAAGGGCTTTAATAGAGGTATAAAACTAATGTAGTGTGGCTCATAATTTGGCGTAAATGAACACAAAAGGACTCATAAAACCTGTTAAATGTGCATATGAAACAGAAAGAGATTTCACAAGTTTGGAATGTCCGGTCTGCTTACTATATCAACATATGTGCATAAAGGGGACATGTAAAATTACGTAATTTAAATATTCAGAACTTATTATTGAAAGTAATCGTTCTTCTCCGTGAATCTTATCGGTTGCGTAGTACCTGCCCATATGACAAAAGATTTTAGCAGAGTGCTAATATTCTAGGATTACTTTAAAAGCTGAAATTTAAAAAGATGGGTTGGGGGTTCAATATACACACTAGGCCTGCTTAATGACAAACTTTGTTGCTTATACACTTTTCCTGGCAACTTATTGTTGGGGCAGATAAATTGTGTTGAAGGAAATTATAATGTATGAAGTTACATAGGATAATTTAGTGCGAATACTGTCATTGTTTCCTAAAGCTACCTCCATTGAGCACAGTCCTACCTGAGAACCTAGTAGTACATTCATTTTATTAAACCAGAACGTCCATTAACGTATTCACAAGACCCCTTGTAGATTCTATCCTGAGGTAGATTAATTAGTCATATTTTCCGAAGAACGATTTTAATATTATCCTCCCATCTACACTAAAGTCTTCCTAGTCCGGTGAAATCAGAAATCTGTAAACCATAAAATATTTTATGAAGACGCTGGTCAGCAGTAGAGATATTATACCAAATGTAAATATTTTTTGCGTACAAGAGTAGCATCCTTAAGGTCCGTGCTTAAGAACATCGGCCACAACTCAGTACTCGTTCGTGGGTGGCAGGGTTTTTGGTTATCGAGACAGCTTTGCTTTCTGTTAGTGGTTTCTGGAGAGTAACATGATCTGTCCATCTTCACCTTCTCTGAAAAGTCACTTATTAGAAAGTAGGCGGAGCAAATTGGCGAAAAGAAACAAGCCAAAACTCTATATAGAGAGGTCATTTTCATCCCTCTGAAGTAATTTATGATTCCAGTATTTAAAACTCTTTGGTGTAAGTAAATAAAAATGGTTCCAAAAATACTTGTCAGAAGTGGGATTCGAACCCACGCCCACAGAAGTGGACTGCGACCTGAACGCAGCGCCTTAGACCGCTCGGCCATCCTGACATGAACATAGGTTCTGCCGTACGGCATTAAAACGGAGTAGTTGCTGGCAGTTTGCCCATATCAGGAAGTCATACTTTTAATTGTAATTAATGCAATAAAATAAATATGCCGATTTGTCGACTACTAACAATGCAAGAATATGTTTTTGTACTTTCTTTGCTTTATATACAAATTCCTGTCGATTTTGGGCGTAAATTCAGTTAATAAACATACATACAATTGAACATGGTTGTCTTCTGGGTTGTAATGCCGTGTAGTCTGGTAGAAGTTTACCAACGTTTCACAAGGTCCTTGCTGCCACCATCATCAGGGCGATTTTCTTTCACGCGTGGCGTATCTGATTTTTTTTGTTTTTCCGAAATATGGAGTCAAAAAAAAGTGAATGCCCTTATAATGCAAGCCAAATTGAGGCAGATTTATTTTCGAGCTGTTTGCTGTGAAAGCTTCGTACAGCAATTGGCTTGTCTTCCTGGTACGTGGTGCAATTGCAAAATGTGCGCCCATACTTCACATGCTGGTTCTTTTCACAGTTAAAATATTCGCTTCACAGTGTCTGGCATCACAACCCGGTAGTCCACTATCGTCATCTGTGCCGCCATAAGAAGATCAAATCTCATCTTTACTGGCTAACCGTTTATAACAGTTCATACATATTGTTAGATTTTAAGTGCAATCTGTTGTTAATAAAACGTCATTAAATAAGGTAGCAATAGATCTGTGGCAAATTTATAGTGTAAATCAAATTTCCTGAATAGTTTTTAGTCATCCAAAGTTTGTGAGACCAAATAATCAAGCATACATAAGGCCTGCTACAATGAAACATTTTCAAGACAAACTTTGATGAAGTGATGAATTTGAGTGTTAGTTTCAAATAAATGTAGTACTTGCAGGGTAAGAAAGTGCCCCGATCTTGTTTTCAATTACACCATCTCCCCTTCAATTTGCCGCTTCGCTTAACCCAAGAAATCACAAGGCATAAATCAAATCAGCTGTCTATTCTAATTGAATTTTACTTTGCGAAATGCGGCCGAAAAATTACCAACACCATGTGTGTAAATACAGTAGGTCATTGGATTAAAACTTATCAGGTAATTTCGTGATAGCGATAACTTGATTAATTTTTAATTAACCATGTTAAACTCTCTGCCGATGCAATTATGATGTACGCACACGGGTACTGCCCGATGCCCCTAAAAATTAAAATTAGATTGGAGTAGTCCGAAACAGAAAATACCGACAAGGAAAACCACAAGTTCGATTACATCGGCTGTACTCCCAACAGCGCTTCGTGAAGTGATAAAGGTGTACACATAAGACCCGATATTCTCAACCAAATTTTAAGCCTTTTTCTTTATAACATTAATAGCAGACATCAGAGTAATTTTACATTTGAATTCAGTCTGCAATTAATAATTTCGCCTGAATTATGAATGTGGTTTATCGAACGACCACATAGCAACGATTATTTCTAATAAACGAATGAACAGGAGGGGATGTAGAAGGAAGTGACCATGTTCTAATTTAAGGTTATATCCCAGAATTTGCCTGAAGGGACTGAGGAAAATCATAAAAAATCTCATAATACCCGGTCAGCATGACAATATTTGAATGCATAGCAGAAGTATAGACCAAGTTTTTTGTCAATTCCTTATTCCCCTATCCTTAAATTTCCTTTGAATTTCATTATATAACATCAAAAAGTGTTTAAAATAACATTTTTTTATTATATACAAATTCTGTGTACATTACGTTGTTTCAGAGAACATCAACATTTGTATTAGCTTTGAGTGAACAAGTTTACTTGATGTATAAAGTGAAGCATAAATTTTAACACCTCCATTTCTGGATGATTGGTTAGGTTATGTTTGTTACTCAGAAGAAAGCTTTAACCTTGGCAGTGCAGAGCCATGCAGAAATCTGATAGCAGTAAGTTCATTGCTAGAAACCAAAAGATATTTCAGCAGAGAAAACATTATGCACATATATTTTTATATTTTCACAAGGTTCATGTGTCCCTCCACAATGAATGTCAAACACTGAAGCGCAAAGCTTTTCTCCTGAGTAACAGCAACACAGTAATAAGGAAAATGTCAATTAAAATGTTTCTTACTTAGTTTACCTTTTATTTTGTGTGCCCCAGACTGGCATCTCAAAAATATTATACTGAAGAACAGTAAATGAGATCTATACATTTATATGATAAACCAGATTGAGTAGTTAAAAGTATTGAAACAAAGAACTCTCAAACTTATGACTTATTTTAGTATTCACAATGAAATTTCGTTTTGGAATGAAATACTATATTTATTAAGAGCCCACTTCATCTTTATCACATTGTAAAGTGTGCTAAATGCAATAATACAGCCAAAACTACAATAACCTAGCAAAACATTCTGAGACTGAACTATTTACTTAAGTACCATGAAGAGTTGAGAGGCGCAAATAAGATGACACTGTTGTGTTGGCAGTTTCCCATATGCAGTCTTATCACAATATCTGCCCCTTCTGTTATATACGAGGGGCAGTCAAAAGTTCCCAGAATTGTGATATAGCACTGTAATAGTAGGACAAATGGCAACGCTTACATAATCACCTTCAGAGTAGGACCCTTGCGCACACACACACTTGCTCCATCGATCTTGCCATTGTTGGAAGCACCGGCAGAAAGCTTCGTTTGGAATCTTCCGGAGTTCGGCCGTCACATTCGATTTGATGTCCTCCATGGTTGCGAAACTCATCCCCTTGAGGCCCATTTTCAGAGTAGGGAACAGCCAGAAGTCACTCGGAGCGAGATCCAGAGAGTATGGTGGTTGGGTGATGACGGGAATGCTTTTCTCAGCGAGGAATTGCTGCACAACCAGCAATGTGTCGAATGCGACAGCCAAACTCCGGAAGATTCCAAACAAAGCCTTCCGCCGGTGCTTCCAACAATAGCAGGATCGATGGATCAAGTGTGTGTGTGTGCGCAAGGGTCCTACTTTGAAGGTGATTAGGTAAGCATTGACATATGTCCTACTATTACAGTGCTATACCACAATTCTGGGAACTTTTTGACTGCCCTACGTACATCAGTACAGCTGCATTTTTAAGTGTTGTGTGTCAGTTTGAAATGGCTGATGCTAAAAACGCAAGTAAAGTTTTGAGTTAAAATCAAGAAAATGGACTTGAAAATCTGCAGTACTCCATCAGCACCAGTCACTTGTTTAGTGAGATCTGTTCTCATTAAATATCATTTGACAGTTCATGAGTTTGTCAATGAAGTCAACATATTATTTGGCTAATGTCAGTTGTTCACTACTGATGACTTTGGGTTTGTAAAATACAGCAAAATTTGTTGCATCTTTATTGGCTAATGACCAAGCCCAGTATTTCATGGCAACGTATCTCAGTCTCCGTATCCGTGTCATATGAGATCTATAGTCCCTTTGTGACAACATAACTGGTGATAAATTTCAGATGGATTTATGTTTATGACCTGGAAAAAAGCAATTATCATCCTAGTTCAATGTATCTGAGCAGCCTCAGAACTTTTTGATAGGCTATATGGTCAAGAAAATCTTGCAAATCCACTGTACATAAATTATGACACGTATTTTGGATTTATATTTCCCCCCCAGTCTAAGTACAGACACAGTCACATAATCTTGTGTTTCAGAAAAAAACAACAAACCACTTAGATCGCTTAAGACTCGTAATCTCTTCATTCTGATTTTTTTGTTTGGTTCCTCGTCTTCATACATTTGCGGATGATTCGATGAAATGACATCAAGTAGTGAACACTCACCAAGCGCATAATTCCCATTAAACTAACCTGAAACAAGCACAGCATCACTTCTTTCTACATGTAAGAATAATTACTTAAAAGAAATACAGTCTCCCCCTTGCTACAGTGAGATATGGTAAAACAGAACCTTGTTTTCAAGGTACTGGAGGACTTATATATAACACTCTGTTCATCACCATGTTCAGAAAAGCCAACCTTTAGGTAGTAATCTAATCTAGTTCAATCCACTTTAACATCTTAACACACGATTTCTTTAAAATCCATGTTTTAAATTTGTACCTGTTAATAAATTAAGAAATACAACACTGCAGGGAAAAACCTCTGAAACACTGGTAAACTTCTACCAGACTACAAAGTGCTATGGCCCAGGAGACAGCCATCTTCAGATTCACTGTTACGAAAATGTCAAAACCCAACTAAACATTGTGTTCAGAGTCTTACAATGCAGGCTTCAAGCAGTAAGACTTTCACAAACCGACAGAACTCATCATACCTGAGTAATAAGTTCAAGCACGGAGGAAACAGGAGCCATTCCTGCACAAAGAGTTGTAAGCATGAAACCCTCAGAACCAACCGTGCTGTAGAAATTTCCTGTCTGAAAGGAATACAAAATTTTTTATAAACAGGTTTCACAAATGAGACAATGCAAATATTAATATTTACAAATGACCATAATAAAAGCTGTTTACTATCATAAATTCATATTAGGAACTGCCTTCTGAGTTACTATTATTCACGATTCAGTGTTACAGCTTCTGAAACAGGTATCCAGGTAGAAAAATTATTAAGGGAATACATGAAGACATAATTCGAGCCTTACTTATTAAAACTTTTAATTTGCCCAACACTGCCCATATTTCAGACATTAAAATAAAATATAATACTCATGACACAATACAAATCAGGTACAATAACACTGCATTGTTTTTTACAGTGACCTGTAAAAGTGCTGTCTAACATGTAACTCACTAAAGCATCCTTCATGATCTGTTTAGCTACAACTTCAGGTGAAACTATCCCAGCAGACTGAGAAATTAGTCTTGTTTCCATAGGCTTGGACTTTTCCTCATTAGCAAATCCAGGAGTGTCAGTGTCTGGTGGTAGAGACAGTGTGACTGATATGTTGTATGGTTTGACCTGTGAACATGTGTATACCAAATACTAAATATTGTTTGACCATTTACGCTAATATAGTTTAGTTAATATAATTCTGATGCCTTTTCTTGCTGACTTTTAGAGTATATTAAAAATATCTTCACTCCGCGTAACAGCGTTTTCATTTACACCATACATTATAGGTAACATAAGAGCATTTCCGATGATCAAGATGGAAATTTTAATTGAGTGGAATATAGAATCTTCATACCTCCATATGCAGAGATTCAGCAAGACCGCGGAGTGCAAACTTAGTACTGCTATAGACTGTGTAGCCATATATACCCAACATAGCAGCCTGAGATGCAACAATCACGATCCTACCTTCACCTCTTCCCTTCATTCGTGATATCACAGCTTTGATAGGAAATAATGTCCCCAAGAAATTCAAATTCAGTAAGTACTGTAATAAAAAATATACAGCAGATGAAACAAAACAACACAAAAATCAGTAGTCCTGTTATGAGACAATGTCCCTACAGTTAACCTATTAACTGCTTAAATAAACAGTTATGTTCATTTCACAAAATTACATTTGAACTATGTGATGAATTTTTACTAAAATTGGTATAGATATTGTGCCACTGGGGATTACCCCATCTTCATAACCTCTCATTCCCTGTCACCAAGATGTTGACTAAATGGACTTTGGGACAGATGTGACACTAATGCCATGGGTAATGAAATTTTGTGCACTGTAAAGTCTTAAAAAGAAGTGACATTCTGTTAAGGTTAACCTTTTTGTAGAATGTAATATGATAACATAGTTTCAGGCTTGTTATACAGTTACAGTTTACCTTAATATCATTCACAGAAGTATCTTCCAACCTCCCACATATTGCCATTCCAGCACAATTCACCAGCATAGATATAGGACCAATTTCATCTTCAGCACCATGAAGTACCTTCTCTATTTCATCATAATTTTCACTTACGTCTACTGTAATTTAAATGACACATTTACTAGTAAGAGTGGCAAAAACAGACAAAGAAACTACTTATGCTACACCATTTAACACATGTCTCCATTCTTAGAAATATTGGTATCAGGCTTATTTCTTATTCAGCAAAGGCAAAAAATTCCCTTCCCCTAACCACAACACCATGAAGGATAAATAAAGATATAGAGATGAAGCTCCATGCATTATACTTCCCAACAATTGAGAGTAAAATATATAATATACTATTATTTACATAGAACTTAGCAACAACAGTTTGGGATTATGATAAGTATTACCAATTATCAAATAAAACAGAGGAAAATATTAATTCCAGCATCGAGATAAAAAAGTTACATAGACTGTCTACAGTGTTAAAAAATGGAGTAGTCAAGTTAATATTTTTAACATAATCGCTAAAATGAAAAAAGTAAACAAAATCAATAAATGAAATAAATAAATACTGATAATAAATGACTAGCATGGCCACTGATATTACAATTACTGTCCTACTTACATGAAATATATTGTACTTTCTGATCCTCATGGTTCAGACAGTGTTTCTTCACTTCTGATACTGCACTTTCCAACTTCTTGACATCTCTTGCTATCAGGGTAACATTGGCACCACTTGCTGCAGCTTCAATAGCTACACACTTTCCAATACCACTGGAGCCACCTGTTATCTAGTATTTAAATTCAAAGCAACATTCTTGTAGTAACATTCAACATAAACACAAAACTGGTGCAAAAGCAGGCAAAATGCAAATGTATTTTTTTGCAATACTGTTAACATAATTTTCTGTAGAATTCATACCACACACTTCATCTAACACTGGTAGAAGATTATCTTAATAGGAGCAGATGGTATGATAACATTGCACTAAAAGAGGGGATTTATTCATTCATTTTAATAATATACAGACTTATAGAGGTCTCTGTATACTGACATTGGATAACTTTAAATCAGATCAAGAATTCTGAGCATGATGTGAAACTGGCACCCTAATATGTAACTTAATTTTGTCATATAGCTTGTACAGTGACTACAGCATTGTATTTCTGCCTGGTGGAAACAAATAATTCCTTTAGAGCACAGGGGTACCACCTTCTTCAACAACCAGTAACATTGCATTTTGTATTTACAAGTTTCATATCATTCAGTGTACACAGGTATTATCTCCTTAAATGCATTAACCAGTTTATCTCTGTAAAATAAAGACCCAAACTGTTGTATTAATGAATTTGTTCAATGTTCTTTGTATTCATCTGATAGAAATCTGAACCGTGGTACGCGCACCATACTTTGAATACACTAGTATAACCCTAAAAACAATCTAGGCAGCCCCGCAATACTGCAAAGAACATAAATGTATTCTACTTACCACCACATGTTTGTTTTTCAGGGATTGTAACTTCGATCTCAGCAGTATCCGTTTCGTTATTAGTACAATAATACACAAAGCTATAGAGAAAATAAATATTTCCAACATTGTGTTATGTATTCTGTAAAGAAGTAAAAGACCAGTTACATATGTCGATAATTTAAATTACAAAGTTGAGTGAAATCTCCATTGAGCTAAGCTTACATAAATACTTCAATACAGTCGTTCCGAGAAACGATATATTTTTGTGTATGCTTCAAAGATGGCTCTGCTAAAGTTTCCAGTTTCAAGCAAAGCAAAAAGTAAACAGTGGATCCACGGTTCCGGAAAATCTGACGTAAATACATCTCTGTAAAGTAATGTAATGAAATGAAATGTAATATAATAATTCTTATATAAGATAAGTACTTGTGATAATCTAAAACGTTTTTACCAGCACAAAATTATCTAGTCTACGACGCACTTCTTCTACAACCGATTCACAGCTCAGCTCCTTCCGCAATAACGAAAGCGGATTGTTGACGGCAGTAATGTAACACAATAATGCCGAGTAAACAGATGACGTTTCTTAGGTAACATAACAATGCACGCAAGTTGACCATTGTTGTCGGTCCATATTTACACATTGTTGATATGGATCTTACACGTTTTCCTTTCACTTTTTTGCCGAATGACCCTTCCGTATAGATGTATTTACGTCAGTATGTCCAAAATTACTGAAGTCTGTAAATAAACCCGGTACAGGCAACAGATTGTTTTGATTATTTACAATTTGCACTACAAGTGACCTTTAGCCAAGAAAGGAATATCACTGTTCAAAATTACGACATCTTAATGTAATTTGGGCCATGTGACTTCTCCAATCATTATAGTGTTGTTCAAACATTCCAGTTTTGAATAAAATTTATGAGGTTTAGTATAAATGTTTGTGAACAAAACATACATATTAAATTTTTCCAACTATATCTTGCCGATTGAGCTGTACTACCAACATCGACCACAATTAACAACAGATGGCAGCTGTTCATGGTGTGAATGACGACAGCACAATGTATACGTGACGTCAAAGTTGCCAACTTTCAACATTGTCTGTGAAGTGGGTTGTACTACGTTGGTACAATGTGATCTAGGTTATCTGTAGTGTCCTGTGTGTTATGGTTGTTGTACTAAGGATATTCTTTTTTGATATAAATTTTGTTGGTTGATTCTGTTGTCAGGGAATCTCTGTTACTGGTATTAAAAGTGCTGTGATTATGGGGAAATTGAATGTTACCATCTTACGGTATTTAACAAAGGAAGATTTCAGAGTGTTGACAGCCGTAGGTATAAGTATATAATAGTGTATAAGTTTCCATAAATGTGCAGTAATAAAACTTTCTTAGTCCGTAGAAACATATTACCTTTTTTGGATCAGAACTCTTGACTCTAACGTAGACGAATGATAGTGTCCCAATAACATAACCAAACATCCACTTTGTTCAAGTGGGTTTACTTTTGTTTCATTCTTGGAACATGTTTACAAACCGTGCTCAGTCTCTAGCCTCACAAGTCTCTATGTTTTAAATAACATGTATATTAAACTAGGCTTTCTATGCAGTGAGAAATAATAAATCACAAGTGTGGAGTGTGATGGATGAAAAGCAGACATCAGTAATAAGAATTTGTTTAATCAGGCCTTTGAAACCAATTTGAATTTTAAAAGATGATGTCACTCCTGCCGTTATAATCGCGGGATCGTAAACGTATATAAATATTCTTTTTTCTGACTGGTGGTTTGAGTTTATTTACATTTTTAATTATTTAAATAGCCATATTATTTCTTTAATTGTTATTGTAGTAATGATGAGTGGAAGCAGCAGAAGTGGTGTTGTGTATTATATTATCATTATATTACTTTTAAAACATTGAAAGTGTAACTTTTTCTCAGGGTTACTGCTTTAAATGTCACTTGTATTTAAAAATTTGGATTGTTTCAGATTGAAATGGGCATGAAAAATCATGAGCTTGTACCAGGATCTCTTGCAGCATCTATAGCAAATCTTCGACATGGTGGTGTTCATAAACTCCTGAAAGAATTATGTAAGAATCGACTTCTTAGCTATGAACGTGGGAAACACTGTGAGTATTAAATATGGTGAAAACTAACTATGCTGTGTAACTACCCATTAAGAATACAAGAAATTTTTTATAGAATGAAAATATTGGTAGTTTAATGTTTAATACCAGAACTGATATTGTTCCGCAAGCACAGTTATGTATTTGCTGATGTAGAGGTAAAGTAATATAAGTACCAAAATTTATAGTTCATAGGATTTATTTCACATAAGTTTGCACAAATATATTTAAGAAATAGTTATTATTTTCTCTGTTTACAGCTGGAAGCTCAAGGAAAATTAATGTAATTTCTTAGCAAAAACTATATTGTCTGGTTTTCTGTGTTACATACACTGTGTTTTGATACTTGTGCCTGACAGTGTCAAAATGTGACTGTTTGTAGGATTAAGATTATTAATACATGGAATTGAATCACTTACCATGGTAAAGACTTTACTATTACACTGTGTGTAGCATGCAGTTATGATTTACTATTATGTAAGTGCTTTCTTTTTCTTTACTGTTACTCCAGTGTTGCATTTAATCCCATATTTCTATTTTTATTTCAATTGAGTCTTAAGTAATGTTTTACAATAAAATTAACTCTGTTATAGATGATGGTTACAGACTAACTAATGCAGGTTATGACTATTTGGCACTGAAGACCTTGACATCAAAAAATGCTGTTTCTTCATTTGGAAACCAAATTGGAGTTGGGAAGGAGTCAAATATTTATGTTGTTGCCAATGAAGAAGGCCAGCCACTTTGCTTAAAACTTCACAGGTAAATTGAAGCTGTATGACAAAGTATTTTTAGAAGGAAGCTATCATCCAAAATATCATTGACTAATTTGAGGTCCAACTTTTAGATCTATGTGATACTTCTGCCCAAAGAATGCAAGATAGCAAGAAAATTAACATAGATAATAGTAACATAAAGAATAAAGACCCTATCAGGACCTGTCTGGCCCAAAGCTATGTAACTCAGAGTGGTATATTCAGATTGCAAGTTCCACTGACATTTCTGGAAATAGGTAACTGAGAACAATTGCCCCAACACCCTTACTGGCTCCAAAGTTTCAGTATAGTCCATTAATACCGCTTTTGAAGTAATTTTATTTCCCATTAGTTTGAAGATGCACTCTGTCTTTAGTTTAATGATGGATTATGTTAGTGCCATTGAGGTTTTCACAGCGATGAGTATGAAGATTTCTGTCTTCTGGGTAGTCTGTCGATGTTGACCAGCGTTTCAGGGGTCGTACTACCTCCGTCATCAGGGCAATGAATGTGCCAGTGGGGTGTGTGGGGCACCTTGACAGTAGTAGACTCCTTCCTTTTTGGCTTATTTTAGCCTGGTCACAGGGTAGAATGCTGGCTGGTGGGTTCTCTTGCATTAGAATTTCACGTGCTACTCATGGTATAGTTAGAGGTAACATTTATGCTCATAAACATTTCAGGAAGACTACTTTACAAATCTGATATTACAATAGCTGTCAGAAATGGTACCCTTCAATACTGGAATATATTTCACATGAACATATTTTCTGACACATTAAAATTCACCTTGCGTGAATTGTAGAACGATTAAAATGTTATAATTATTTCTGTAGACTTCCTGTTTCAAGTTTCTCCAAAGATTAAAGATTGCATTTTCATCAACATTGTGGCCATAGTCTTTTACTGATTGTTTGCTCATCAAAAAGTCTTTAGACACACAACTGATTTTTTTTCGCTGTGTGCTGGTGTGTATTAGTGTGTTGAAATTACACATTAAACAATTCTCAACGAGAACATTCAGTATATATCATACATTTTTAGATGCAAACATAAAGAATACTCTCAGGTGACTGGCCACTGCCAGCTGTGCACTTACCATGCCAGTAGTCTTGCTACCTGTTTCTCCTGTGTACTTGGTACTGATTTGTAATTTTAACTATGAATTCTTCTGTACAAGTGATGCATCTCACTTGCTACACAGCAGTGTGTAATAACAGAAATTACTTGGTTAATTGAACCATAATTTTTTTGTAGGCTTGGTCGTACATGTTTTCGTAATATAAAAGAGAAACGCGACTATCATCAACATCGGCATACTGCGTCTTGGCTGTACCTGTCTCGTATCTCAGCCACCAAGGAATTTGCATACATGAAGGCTTTGCATGAACGTGACTTCCCTGTACCTAAACCTATAGATTTTAACAGACACTGTGTAGTCATGGAGCTTGTAGAAGGAAAACCATTGTAAGTATTTATTGAAATAAGTATCATGTATTTTGAAAAACTGTCTTAATTATTTATACATCATAGATTTATTGTCATGCGTACAAGAATTTGGTTTGCAATCATTGTAAAAGTACTTTATTTACATGAATAAAAAATTACTTAATTCTGAGGCAGGAGCTTAAAAATTAAAAATTAAAAATACTGGGGAAAAGGGTGTTTTAGTGAATGCTGTACAATTTCATCAATTTTCATATGTCTATTGTTACTTCTTTCACAGTAATTTAGTATCATAATTTTAACATTTTTTATTTATCTTCAGATAATTTGCCTTGATTTTTCTGAATTAACAGTAATTTGGCATCAAAATTAATTTCACTGAACTATACACAATGACATATTTAAGCTGATGACAGATACAAGTTTCTGTATGCTTTCATGAGTGGAACACTTTCCTCCCTGTAGGGCGTCAGATCATACAAAATATTGTAATTGTTCACAGATTTAAAATAAATTGTCACATTAGCTTACTGTAAGTATCACATTTTCTTCTGATGAAATAATTTTCTATGCATCATTTTCTCAATTTACTGAGGTTTTTGTTTTCTTAGTTGCCAGATGCATGAAGTTGCAGATGTCGAGTCTCTGTATGACGAGTTGATGGATTTGATTGTAAGACTTGGAAATCATGGTGTTATACATGGAGACTTCAATGAATTTAACATAATCATAACAAATGAAGGAAAACCAATTCTTATAGATTTTCCACAGATGATATCCACTTCACATCCTAACGCTGAGATGTAAGTTGAAATTAGTTTACTTTCCCAATAGGGATTTATCTATTATATGATATTGTCTGAGCTACCCTGGCTTACGTTTAGCATCGCTTAAATATGTTTCTTATTTTCCCTAGGTTTTTTGATAGAGATGTGAACTGCATTCGCGATTTCTTCAAGAGGCGATTTGGATATGAAAGCAGCTTACATCCGACGTTTAGTGATGTAATGTATGTAGCATTATATGTACATTTACATTTTACTGATTTATGTGTGCAGTGTTACAGACACACATTTATCAAATATCGGAGAAAAATGGGTGTAAAATTTGGCAGTCCATCAACTACTTATAGACTTAAAGAAAGTTTATTATCCTGTTACAGGAGAAATACTGTACAACCTGTAGTAAAGTTACAGATGTTTAATGCATGAAATGAATAAAAATTTTGTAATTTGCATCTGGAATAACCTTTGCTTTAGTTCTGTTGTATTATTAAAACTGAATTTGCATTCATTGATGTGGTTTTGTTTCTAGGAGGGAGGATAATTTGGATGTGGAAGTATCAGCCAGTGGCTTCACTCGCCAGATGGAAAAAGATTTATATGTTGAAATGGGAATTGAGAAAGATGATAATGAAAGTGTAGAAGTGGGAGAAGAATTAGACAAAAGAATTGGACATTCAGAAGTTGAACAGTTGAAAAATAAAGCAGAAGATATGTTAAATGATGAAGTTGACTGTGAAGTTCAGAATAATAGTGAAGAATGTGTCATTAATAATAATTCAGAATCTGACATAGCCAAATTGCCCTCAGTTATAACTGCAGCACAGAGCAATTCTATCAGTAGCGGCAGTTTAAAGGACGAAGATACTGAAAAGTTACAATATTTGAAAATGAGCAGAAATCCTCATTGCTTATCTGATGATAAAACTTGTGAAAAAGAATGTCCATCAGAAAGAATTAGATTTTATAGCAGCACTTTTAGCGTACGTAGCACCTCCACAGCAGCCACTATAGCTCCAGGAGAGATTCGTAGCCGTGTAAAAAAGTCTTTGGAACAGCGTGAGAAGTCTTCCTTGAAGAAGAGAATTACAGTAAAAGGAGAAGCCAGTGCAGTAACACGATCTCGAAGAGAGAATATGGATACAATCAAACAGTGTGATGGTATCTGGAATTGGGAATGAAAATATATTAAATAAAATTCAGATGTCTGTGTTTACCAAGCATAGTGGTTTAGACTGTTAATGGAAAGTAATAAATACTTTGCAAGCTCTCTTCTTTGAAATTATAAAATTTCTCCTAAATGGGTGTGTGTCTTTGTATTGCACATTAAAAACATGTATCCTTTCTTATCCATGTTATGTTTTGTCAGATGAAAGCCAGCAATAATCATTTCCTGTTAAGAAACTGAGTTGTGTAAGCCAGTGATATAATAATCTTTTCCTGTTCAGAAACTGAGTTGTGTAAGCCAGTGATATGCAACCAGTGTGCCGTTGAGGCCATCTAGATGTGCCACGAAATTTTCACCTCATGTTATAATTATAACCATAATGAGATGTTTACACATAGTTAATAAATTTTGGATCAAACAGTGGGAAATATTATATTTTAATTTATTTTGAATAATGAATATATTTAAAATAAATGACAGTAATAAAGATGGATAATTATGAACATCAAATAGAATATTTTTCGGTTGGGGTCGATAAGTTGTCACAGCCAGTCAATGTCATAAACCACCTAAACCCCCACAATATGAAAAATGGGGTTGGTGTGCTGCCATGACTCTTCGACAATATTTAGTACGCCACGAGTGGGGAAAGGTTGCGCAACACTGGTGTAAGTGATAAAGTTTCTGTTATTGTTTTGCAGTTTCTGCTATCAGGTCATGTTTATGAACTGTATCAAGATAAGCCACATTCATAAATACGAGGATGTTAGAATACATGACCTTGACAAACATCTCTTTGGAATATTTTGTGATTATATAATCTGAAATTTTTTGTTTGGAATTTGCAAATTATGTTAAATTTATATTGTTGTTAGTATTAAGGTCAGACTATCTTGTTTTTCCTGATGGTAGTGTTCAAGGTGCATAGAGGTGACAGCAAAACAGTTCATTTTATTTGTATTAATAATTTTAGCTTAGTTTCTTCATTTTATAAGGAATCATTCAACAGTATTCATGTGTTTCTCCTGTCCAATAACTTTTAAACCAACTTTTGGACTTGTTATGAACATCACAAAAATAGAGAGCACCTCCCCTTAGTACTTTTTATAATATCTTGTCATATTTTCAGGTGTTTGTTTAGTGGGGATTCATTCTTCAACCTATGATCCTGCATGGTTTTGCATAAAATATTTACTGCCTTGTGATAATTATGTTTTAATGTTGACACAAAACTTCCTTCAGCCAAGAACGATACTTGACAACATCGCATAGATATCTGTGTTTTACTGCAAATTAAAATTAAGCCATCTGATTATAACCACAACTCTAATCTTCACTCTCATTGTTTCTCTGAAGGTTAAGGAATTGCAAACTAATCCTTGGACAGTCATGTTGGTTCATCACTGTTATTCTGACAGATTGTTTTTCTAAAAGTATGTAACATAGTAGTTGTTTTGTAGATTTATGGATCACTTATAAATAAACAGATTAGAAACTTTTTTGTTGAACTCTGGAGATAAAAAAATTAATCTTGTGTTGCTATGTTTCAAGTGTTTTAATTGGTAAGAATTAACTGAGGTTTTTTCCACAGTGATGGCAGACTTGTGTGAGATGAAGCAAATTTAGGTTTTGCCGAGGACAAGATGGCACTGGAGAAAGGTCTTCATATTGCTTCTTTATTTCTGACCTCTTAAATCTGTGAATAATAATAATAATTACAATTTAATGCCTGTCTAGCCACAAAATTTTCTTCTCTGCTTTCCTCTGGAGGATTTCTCTTAGCCCACACTCTGTAAGGCTGTAATTCAGTGTTATCTTCTGCCACCTTTCTTCACTTTTCTAGTATATATATCAGGTAGGCCTATTTTAATCTTTTCCTCTCTTCAGTGATGATTTTCTGGCAGATAATGTTTTGAACTGGAATTTGAGCAACTCTGATGAAAATGGGCCCCACTTCTAAAATTCAGGATTAATAAGCCTACAGAACCCACCAATATTTAATTACTCAGTGGACTGTTTGATTTAAAATTAACCATTTGGGGCTAACACTTTGTGTATTAATGGTGTCGTATCTATTAATGAAGTTATTTAAGTCGGCCAAAACAAGGGGAGTGCAGAAACGTTATGCCGATAATACTGTTGCAGGACTACAATGTGCTCAGCTGTAATTACCTTAGCCAAGCTGGCTCGCACAGGGCTACCCATCAGACCTGAAGAACTATAGGATCGAAAGTTTATTGACGTTTCAGAGGTGGCTATGTAGGCAGCAAACACATCTGAAACGTCGGTTAACTTCTTTCAGACTGCATGGTTTAGGAAATTATAAGCCCCGCCATGAGGATCTCAGATCACGCATGCGCAGAACGATTCTTCACGGTTTATAATGGGCTTATGTTGTGTATGTCTCTTTATTGTGTGGTTGCGATAGGGAAGGGTTGACGTTGCGCACGCTTGTGACTATCGATTTCGAAGCATGGCCACCGACAATTTAACGGCAGTGCTGTATAAAGTGAATGATCTAATGACAATTTAACTGCAGTGCTGTATAAAGTGAATGATCTAAGGCTTGTAAGTTATTCTTATTAAGTTTACTGAATCGTGATCATGATATATTTCTGAAAATATGACCGCTGTCTAAAGTTTTGGTGATGTTACTGAAGCTAGGGCTCTCCAAATATGAATCATTGACGACACTGCTGAGCATGTAATAAATATTACTATAACGAAGCTTACTCGTGCTTCCAATTACTTTGGAAGTTTTTAAATTGGTCTGTCTTGATGTCAGTTTTTCGTTTCAGGTAGGCTAGAAAAACAGGTTCACTACATGTGTTTATTAGACGATTATGGGTCATTGTACTTTGCCTGTTTTTATCGTTCTTTGGTGTACTTCCTCAATGTGCCTATATCAGATCATGTGATGTAATTGCGCAGTGGCGACGTTTTTCTCCGAGGCCTTCAGTTTTCCACTTTTAACCATAATTTTACTGTGTTCCATAACATCTATCACAGCCACTGAGGTGCGCGATTGCTCTGACCTTGGTATTACATAAGGGACTTAATCCCTGACCTTGGTATTAAATAAGGGACTTAATATATGACCCGATACTTGTCATCGAAGTAAAGTAGCTTTCTTTAGCAGTCAGTAAACAAATGTAATTTACATAAAGGAGCTTTCTGTAGCAGTCAGTAAACAAATGTAATTTACTTTCCATGATCAGAATGAATTCCGTTCATTCGATAAAGTAACGTTTCTGCAAGTGCTTTTTTTCCGTATTTGTCTTTTGAACTGTCCGAAACACTCGCGTGATCTGCAAGTGCTTTTTGTCCGTACTGGTATTTTGAACTGTCCGAAACACTCGCGTGATAAAAGAACGTGTTGAATAAATCTCGTTTTGGCGTTTAATTTTGTTGTACTTTGTTTCCTTCATCGCATTTATCTTTATCGAAACTATAATCGTTTCTCTTTTAATTGTTTTATACAGGAACAGCGACCAATTCCAGAACCAGATGATGACCGTAAGTTCTTATACGAAATAATTCTTATTTCCGTTATAGATACACTGCAATTGTGTGAAACTCGGTAACCCTAAACGAAAATATTGTGTTACCAACTACAGCATAAATACAAACGACACGTGTAAAATTAACTTCACAGACTACTTCATGACCTTGTAGTCAGTTTATGCTTATTTAACAACGTGTCTAACTGTTAAGCCAGGGTTGCCCAACATTTACGCGTAACCCGCACTCCGAAGGCTGCACTATAAAACTCAGAACGTTCTTATTTCAACTTGAAACACTTATTCTATGATTACATTCTAAAAGCGTTATCAGTACAAAGAGAACTGATTTTGTTGAATTAAATAAAGCATACTCTACAGGAATACAATATTTTAATTGCGATGAATGTAGTGTGAATTTGTGGATTGGTTTCTTCATGCTCAGAATAGGGCCAAATGGCAGGTTCTTGTGAACAGTAATGAATCATCAGATTCCACAAAATGTGGGGTATTTAATGACTAGATGAACAGTTATTAACTTATTAAGAATAATTCTGCTCCATGATGTCAGATAGGTACTTGGAAGGGTGGATGGACTGATTGGTAAATTAGGTAGAAAATTAGATATATACAGGGATGGATGAGTTGATAGATATTATCTGAAGAAAAGGAGTGCTCTCTTTGCTGATTTTATGTTTTGAAGTGAATCTGAAGAGATTTATTGAGCAACAAAATCTAAATTTGTATGTATTTATGGTAGATAAGGTAATCTCACATAAGTAGGTGCTACAAATATATTGAACACCTGTAAAGTTTATTTAATCTGGATAAGACATCAAGATGCTGTCATGATATGAGCTTTAGCACAGCTGTGTAGTCTAGTCGATGTTGACTAACGTTTCAGAGGTCATACTGCCTCCGTCATCATAGCCCTGTGAAAACCTCAAATCTTACACAGTATATTTTAATTTTGTGCTTGTAATGTAAAGGTACTAGTAATTACTGGCAATTTGTTTTTGGTACCAGAGGTGCTCCTGCAGATGGCTTGTGTTGGAATATGTGGGTCAGATGTCCACTATGTTGTCCAGGGTAGGATTGGGGACTTCATAGTCAAAGATCCAATGATAATGGGTCATGAAGCAAGTGGCATTGTTGCAAAAGTTGGAAAGAATGTGAAGCATCTAAAGGAAGGTCAGTATAATATGCTAAATTATCATAGATTAATTCTATCAAAATGTGGAATAGTTCTGGGAAGAATAAATTTATGTAAATTTTGTATAATATTGTATTAATAGCTTTAAACTTTCAGTTTAGAGATTTTAATATTTTCAATATAGTGCAACAGTAGATTTGTAATGATTATCTGTACGTTTATGACAATTGGAGACATTATATCAATAGTAAGGTGGACATTGTCCATTGTCTGAGATACAGGCCTGTGTGTCCAACATAGTATTGGTGTGTGTATAGTAATTTACCTGTATTGTGCATAAGTCTGTGTCAGTGCTTTGGGTTACAAGGAAGAACTACACAGATGGTCCAGTGGTTAGCATAATAACATATTCTATTCAAGAAGTCCCAGATTTATTCAGAACATATGCCACAAATCTTTAAACATTAGAAGACTCTGTCAATCTAATGACAACCAACCAACTGAAGAAGAAAGTAGGTCAACACCCAAAACATTGTTTATATCAAATGTAAATGAACATCATGGTCAATGAGAGATACATAATTAGTGAAGAATACATTTGGAAGCAATTTGTAATTCCACTTGTAAATTGCAGTACAACTTTCCACTCAGATTAGGATTTGTGGGTATAAGATTGAGTGCAGTTGAGTTGACTTAAATCTCACTAACCACCTGCAGGAGATCGGGTGGCCATCGAGCCAGGGGTGCCTTGCCGAATTTGCCGGTTTTGCAAGGAAGGAAAGTACAACCTGTGTCCTGATATTGTGTTCTGTGCCACTCCACCAGTGCATGGCAACTTGTCCCGCTATTATGTCCACGCAGCCGACTTCTGCTACAAGTGAGTCTGCTGTTAGTTAATCAAGCTATATGACATGGGCAGTACCACACTGAACATCAGATGATGGATAACGCCAAAGAAATTTAAAACGTTACAATACACCTATGTTAGGAAGATTTGGAAACAGTTGACATTTTTGTTTCAGATTGCCTGATCATGTTTCCCTTGAAGAAGGGGCACTTCTGGAACCCTTGTCTGTAGGAGTGCATGCCTGTAGGCGAGGTGGAGTTGGACTGGGGAGCACAGTTCTTATCACTGGAGCTGGTCCTATTGGGATGGTTACTCTTATCACAGCAAAGGCCATGGGAGCTGCAAAAGTACTTATAACAGGTTAGAATGTTCATGATTAGTAAAATTGAGAGTTATACAGTGTGTGCTTTGAACCATGCAATGAAAGGGAGTCTTGAATTCAACTGTTAAACATTTGGCACAGGCTATTTCAATTTCAATTGTTCATTGATTACTTGACAGTCACTTGTCATTGGTAGACTGTTTGAAGGAATGGCAATTTATTAGCTAGTTTAACAATGTGTTTTGAACTGCATAATTCGTGTATATTTCAGTGGTAGATTGATAACGTAAATCACCTATCGAATTATTTGTCTCAAGGGACTGAGGAATTTAAATTACCATTGTTGATCTCAAGGTGGGAAATTGAACCTGATACTGCCTGAATACAAAGCACAAGTGTTAATCACTCAGCGGTGATAATCAGTCTCTTTTAGATCATTTTTTGGATGTTTAACAACACTGTTTCAATACTGTGTCAATGAAAATGGTTATGAATTGTGAGTGGATAAATGTTTGGAAGGAGACGATCGTGGATAATGTGAAGCTAGTAACCAGTAGTCTGGACAAAATTTGAGCCAGGAACTGCCCAAAGACAAGTCTATACCAGACTACTTGATACCAAAGAATTAATTACTTTGCTATTCCTGCTACAGAAACCCATATCATCCTCTTTTTTCATATCACTATTATAACACCAGTGATAAAGATTAGAAATTATTAAAATTTTCTGTGTAATTTTCTTCATTCTTCTGTCACTTAATATTTTTTACGTCCAAATATTATCTTCAGCACTCTGACTGATCATTGTGGCTGATTGGCTGGCACATCTGATTGGGATTCAAAAGTTCCCAGGCTCAAAATCTTGGCTCAGAGACTGACTGGCTTGATATTTTTTGTAGTTTATTTCAGTCTCGTACCATAAATTAGACCATGACTGCTTCCTTCCATATTCTTTCCAATTTTTAATTCATGAATAATCCTATCATTCAACATTATATAGTCTGAACACTGACAGCACAAATAAATTCAGAAGTCTGTACTTAAAGCTCTTATTTTATATGAATGTGAAATATGGTTTCTCACCCTAAAGGAAGAACGTAGGTTGAAGATGTTTGTCAACAGCTTTATGTATTTAACCTTAAGTTTTTAGATAGGAGAAGGAAAGGTAAGACATTCTAACTGAATGATTAGCAAGGATTTTGTATGAACTATCCGCACCCATGACACTGAGAAATTTGCAGCACCGTCATTTCTGCTGCTATGGAAAATGTGAGCTGATTTGGAACACAATTCTAATACATTTAGGCCTAACTGTGTGTACATCGTCACACAATTCCAGACATTGTTGACCACCGCCTTGGAGTTGCCAAAGAGTTGGGTGCCGACTACACTTACCTGTCAACAGTTGGTGAAGATGAACAGGAAGCAGTGAGGACAGTGCATTCCTTGCTGGCTGAACCCCCTGATATCTCTATTGACTGCAGCGGTGCTGAAGCCAATATTCGGCTAGCAATTCTTGTAAATATGACTTTTAATGTTTTTTTGTGCTGCACACTCCACTTCAGTCTTTATGCACTTTATTAATGCAAAGTGCATGTCTTGTTAACACTATACTGAACTCTACTTGAAAAAAATATTTTTATTTATTAAATTTCTAGGCTAACATGCCTGGTAAAGAAATACCAAACCAATTTTTTTTAAACTTTTATGATCCAAGGGTTGGTAAAACAACACTAGATTTTCAAAGACACTGCTCCATGGAGTTCTTCTTCTTCTTCTATGGCTCTCCGGTCCATATTCGGTCCATGGCCTCCTCAATTCTCCTCTTCCATTCGGTCCTCTGTTAGGTCCGTCTGTCCGAGGCTTTGATCGGGGTTTTGAAACATCTTCCTTTTTACAGTGCAAGGTTGTTAGACTTGCGACCAACCCCCAACCTGGAAGACCAGGGTACCTGTCTTAGTCTGACCTCTCCCCCTAGGGAGGCCCTACCAGTAGCTACGCTACCGCCACTGAGGTACTCAAGCCCCACCACCACGCCAAGGTGCAGGTACCATTAAGTAGGGGCTCCATGGAGTTAGTGAGATATATTTGTAGACTTATTGTAAGCAACTAGTAGGGACGGATTGTGAAGAAAGGTGTCATTGCCTGTTTGAAGTTTCTATCCCAGTTTACCCCAAAGAAACTGATAAGAACCACCAAAATTATAGCTTTAGGTCAGGTTCATCTGTCAAGATTCAAATCAAATGATTCCCAAGTTCAGGTCAGACATTTTACTATTGATCTAGCTTGCTAATGTATTGCAGCTGAAAAAAATGGTTATTACTCAAGAATCAGTCAACCAATAAGTTTCATGTTTTCTTGACACACTGTAGGCTACTAAGTCTGGTGGTGTGGCTGTAATTGTTGGAATGGGAGCACCTGAAGTGAAGATCCCATTGGTCAATGCTCTTGCGAGAGAAGTTGATATCCGAGGAATCTTTCGTTATGCTAATGAGTAAGTGAAATGTTACGATGTAACACAAAAATTCTGTCTACACAACTGTTTTTATTTGACTGTATGCATGTTTTTTTTATTACACTAAAATGGGCCATCTTCAGGTAGATTTAAGTTTTGGATATTACTGACTGACAGACAGAAGTGTATGAATATTAAAATTACATTATAAATAGTTGAAATTTTTAAACTTGACACCGATTGAAAATTATTGAAATTAAAGTACATCGTAACACAACAGGATGCCGTTAATTAAGAAATGTTACATCACACACCGCACAGTCAAATTATTTTCATTACAGTTTTTTAAATTTGAGGTATACCATCTAAAAATATTTCATTCAAAAATATTGGTGTTAATTAAATGTATATCCAAGTCAAGTATCAAGATTTTTTATGATAAAATTATTTATTTCATTTATTCTTTTTGTAATGTTGGTGGTATTTGGATCAGTTTGTGCCAAAACTCAGCGTATGTTAAACTTTTGGTATAGACTACCCAAAACAAATTTAAATGAAATTTGTAAAATATTATTAGTGTATGAGACAAAATATATGAACTAAAAACCTCCCAAATATAAATGAATAACATTTAAATATCCTATATATTTAATTTCAGCGAAGGGTGATGCTGTGCCATGTAACTGATAAATAACTTGTAAATAAACAAAGTAACGATAAATGATACCAACACTGCTTGGAAATGTTATCAGTCAAACTACAGATACACTACACGTTACTTTTCAGATATCCAATTGCCTTGTCCATGGTGGCGTCAGGTGCTGCGAAGGTGAAACAGCTCATTACGCACAATTTCAGCCTTGAAGACACAATCGAAGCTTTTGAAGTTGCCAAGACAGGTGTTGGCAATCCTATAAAGGTGATGATCCATCCACTCAAAGAAAGGGCATAACCCATACATAACAAATGCCCTCATATTTTAAAAATAAAATATTAATTGGAGGTTTTATTCATATTAGCTGTTTCCACAAGTAAGAAGGTTGTCAGAAAGGTTGTGGTTATTTTATAAAATTTATATCACATGGTTTTATTACTACATTATACTGAGTAAAGAGCCTTTTTTATACACTAGTATTGGCTTAATCTGCACCCTGGAATAGAGTTCTTGAGTACCTGAAACTACTCTGCCTTTTATGAAACCCAGAGTTTCAGTCCTGTAACCACAAAAGTCAGCCATCTGCCCCTATGCTGAGCAAAATCCATTCTGAAGATGGCTGTCTTCTGGGTTGTAGTGCAATGTACTGCACTATCCCATCCTTTATTCATATTTTCCATATTTTAATATTAACTTCCTATTTGTGCCTAAGTCTTCTGAGTGTTTTTTATTTTAAGCTTTCCAATTAAAATTTTGACACATTTATTATCACATCTTGCATGCTACATGCCCACCCATCTCATCCTCGATATCTTCATTCCAGTTTTGGAGAAGAGTACAAGTTCCTCATTATGCAGTAATGGTTAGCCTCCTGTTACTTAATATCCTCTTGAACCCTTTTTCTCAACACCTAAACAACCATACAAAATACAGGTAAGAGCATAATCTTAAAACCTTGCATATGGAGCAGTGTTGAACAATTATCTAAATGTATAAATCATGCATACAAACAAGACTGTTAACACTTTAAAAAAATTGACAGTGAAACCACGGTTTCCTAGTTAACGTTGAATAACGTTTAACTGTAGAAGTATATTTGTATTGAAATAAAATTTTATTTACACATTAATGTATACCTTTACATCTTATCCATACGTGACGTCATCCGCCGACAGCTTATCTATGTGTTGTGTCGTACTCAAAAAAACACTCTAGAACCGTTTTTTGTTACCAAATAAATAACCAAAACTCCTAAACCGTAAGAGTTAGCCGAAATCTGTTTGCAAATTTGAAAAGCTCGTGTTTATTTACGTATTTCACTCGCAATATTTCCAGATCTAACTCTTATGCTTTAGACGTGGCAAGCGGTTGAAGTTAAGGAACAAGGGTATAGTTATTACATGTTTTGGGTAATTATTTCAACAATGTGTAAAATATGCATTATAGAATAAAGTAAATATCATGTAGAAAAATCCCTTTATTTACTCTTTAATTTACATATAGGTTTATATTCTCTATCTTACATACGTCTCGAGTTATTGGCTTTTGAAGAAGTTCCACACCAGCGTTACCTTACATCTTACAGTTTCCGTCGAGTGTACCGTGATTTTATAAACGTTTTCAACGTTAAAAATAATAAACTTTCCATTAACTAGAATTAATGTCATGTATTTTCGCCAGATGTCAACATAAATTCGGGGATTTCTGCCAACTAACGCAGTCGACATCGGTGAGTGTGGCTAAACTTATTTGTTAATATTATCTTATATTATCTACGCGTACCATAGGTTGATGAACGCTGTAGTAGACAATCAGGGGAGAGGGGTGAGAAATGGCCGCTGAATTTTGCTTACGAAATATCTCTTTCATGCCCGTAAGATTCTTTTACGTGCCATAAATCTACGACATGGGACCGCCGACTTTATTTCCCCTTCGAAGGAAGTTGTGTTACGGATTTTTATCACCCTTAGAAATGTAATATATTAAATTAATAACACTACATTCTCCACTTTCATAATATCACGAAGATTCCATGGATTAAAAATTACGCAAATTAATGGGTGTATATTTTTAAAGTTTTCTACCAACAGTATTTTGAGTCATCTCTAAACAGTGGCGTGAATTAAGAGAACACATACAACCACGAATACTAAGTAGAGGATAAATAACATCAGGAGTTTAAATGTATTATCTTTGTCTGTGGCTGTCTGACATTTGTGCTGTTTAAAAATGTGCCACAATTAACAGCCTGAAAGAAATAATAAGTATGGCTTCGAGAAAAGTTCCCATAAAGGCAGTATTAATAGATTTAAGTGGGACCTTACATGTTGAAAATACTGCGATACCAGGCGCAGTAGACTCCTTGAAGAAGTGCGTGGACAATTGAGTTTCAGTAGGTTGAGGTTATGTTATCGCTAGGAATTTGTGTTGTATCTTTTTTTGTTGCAGGTTGCGAGGAACAGGTATTCCCATTAAGTTTGTGACAAATACAACAAAGGAATCTAGACGATGTTTGTTTGAGAGGTTGATAGGACTGGGTTTGGAATTAAGAAAAGATGAGATATGGAGCTCACTGTGGGCAGCTCAGGTGTGAAAATTTCCTTAATTTGTGATGTAACACATAACTTGAACTGTCATGTTTTCGGTTTTAAGTACGGGACTATCCAAAAGTTGATTCTGAAGATTCTATTAATTGCAGAGTTGACTATTAGACATTCATGATACACCTCAATCAGTATGACTTCTTTACAGTCTGTTTAAAAATGTCTAGTTTAATCTTATCCACCCCATTGCATAGGATCTGTTGCGGTCTCGCAACTTGAAACCGATGCTGATGGTGGATGATGCAGCATTAGAAGATTTCTCAGGCCTTACTGACTATGGGGAAGAAGAACAAAATGCTGTTGTAATAGGTCTTGCTCCAAGTATGTTCAACTTTAGCCAGCTCAGTAAAGCTTTTAGGTAAATGTTGTTAAATACATTTAAACCTGTTGGAAACTTCTGATGTTGTTTCTTCTCTTCTAAGTGCTTGTGATTGAATATTTCTGATGTGATGCATTTGTAAGAATGTGTTCTTTTAATTTATGTCATGGCTTAAAGATGATTCTCAAAATACTCTGTTGGTAGAAAACTTTAAAAATGTAGCCCCATTTATTATGTGTAATCTGTAATCCATGGAAAGCTGGTAGGTAATGGACAGTGGTATTGATCGGTGGAGTAAAAAATGCAGCATGAAGCATTTTTGTATGGAAACACCTCACTCTGGAGACCAAGATAGCAATAGAATGATATTATATAAATGAACATTAAGGAATTTCGTTGTGGTGATATGAACTAATTTATGATACAATCTGATGGTGAGCCTTTGTGGTAATGGCAGTAAAGGTTTTATGTTTCATAACAGGATATTGCTTGAAGAGTCAAATAAATAGATTGAGATTTCTTCAAGTTCTGATGACGGCAAATATTAAGATGACTGTTTTTGGGATGTTGTACTGTGTAGAAATTGGCCGATGTATCAGAGGTGCTTATCCTATGAAACATTGGTCAGTTTCTGTTAGACTATATGGTGAAACATTCTAGAAGAGAGTCATCTTCAAATAAATATATTGTTTGTCATTTGATTTTTTTAATTTTGTTTTCTAATAAAGAGTGAATTAGAAAGTGTTAGGCTTAGGGCAATGAGAAGTTGAAAAGAATGGAATGAATAGGGATTTGAGAAGCGATAGGAAGATGATACTAAAACTGATCTCAGAAAAGAAAGTTTCAAAAATGTGAATTAGATTAAACTATATCAGGATTGGATCCAGTGGCCACTTCTGTGATCACAATTATGTACTATGAGAGAATCTGTTGCTAAAGGAAGACCCTATTCCATTTCATTACTTATTATAGTGCCGTAATTTAATAATCTCTGCCCTCACCAGTATATATTGTAGCAGACTCCAGCTCAAACAACTCTTTATTTTTACTACTAGTTTTGAGTCACAAACTTGTAGCAGTTAGAGTGAATTCCAGAAGACTGGTAGCAGAATGAATGATCATATATTTCTCTGGAAAAATTGAAAAACAAGGAACACATCTGGCAAACCTTTCATTGTTTTGTGATGGACAGTGCTGAGCACTGATTGCAGGGATCATAAAATTGCAGCTGTAGGATAGGTAAAATGGTTGTCTCTGATATTGCATGCTTTGCCTGTAGTGGCATGCGTTTCCTGAACCTGTGATATTAAATTGTAGATCTGTGGATTCATGTTCAAAGATGAATTCCAGCCTAAGTCACTTGATTGCAGGTTGTTATTAACTGGGGCTGGGGTTCCTTTGATAGCAATTCATTGTGGACGCTATTATAAGCGCTGTGATGGACTTGCCCTAGGACCAGGCCCATTTGTGAGGGCACTGGAGTATGCTTCAGGTTGTCATAGCGAAGTAGTTGGCAAACCATCACCAACATTTTTCAGGAGTGCTCTTGGAGATGTTGACCCTGCTTATGCAGTCATGATTGGGGATGTAAGTTTTGCATGTTGTTTGTATGTCCTATAAAATATTTATTTCTTTGTATAATTTTTCATATTGTTGCTTGAAAGATTCTCAAAGGTTCATACCGAACGTTATTAACCTTTCAGAGACCTCAAATCATATTCTACCCTAACTTTCAGACTGAAAAGTTATAAACGAGACTGATTTATTGAAACTTCATGACAGTTGCAGCACAAATTAAAACACTGACTGTATCAGAAGATGAATTATATTTATTTACTGTGGACAGTAATAATGGTCTGCAATGCCAACCCCATCTGGTACTTTGCTGCTTTTCCTGTATTGAATGTTGGTGGTATTACTTGTACAAAATGACTGGCAATAAAAATAATTGTAACATTGTAGGATGTCAAGGATGACATTGGTGGTGCACAGGCAATGGGCATGCGTGGGTTCCTTGTGCAGACAGGAAAGTATCGGACTGGAGATGAGAGCCGCATTTCACCAGGTCCAGCTGCGGTTTGTCCTTCTTTTTCTGAAGCCGTTGATATTCTCCTGAAGGAGTATGCCCAGTCAGAAGGGGACTCATAACAGTATGTCATACTTTTTTTCCTTCCTTAGAATGGTGGTGGCTAAAAACTGCATCAGGGGTAAGGGAATTATTGTATAAGTTGTTCTCTTATGGAGATTGAATTCTTTTTGTTTTTACTAAATCAGTATTTACCAGCAACTTAAGGAGTTGAGAACAAGT